TAAATCATAATTCATCAAGAGATTTTAAAGTTTTAAGTTATTCCAGCTGCTCTCAGCGGTCCTCAGAGGCTTCAAGCATGAAAACTAACAGCTGCCTCACCAAAGGTTTTAGTTTTGCACTTTACAAACCGCAACAGACTCATAACAGAGGACCTGAGGAACCGCACTGGTTCATACACTGAGCACATGCGACATGTCTGCTGGTGCAAGACCATAAAGGGCTCTGTATTTTCATTCATGTACATGAGTATGATTGATTTATTGATACATTGATTTTTTTCTTGCTGTTCTCACACAAGATCTGACACATATTGAAACACTTTTTATCTTCACACTAGCAAGTTCCCACAAGTGTATAACTCCTGTTAAGATGGCAACAAATGATATACAGTATGTATAACATGGTGTAAATGGAGCCTTTAATGGAGCCTTTAATTGTACCATGAAATATAATGGGTTGACAAATCTCATGGGTTGTGATGCCCAGCATTGCCCACATTTGCTGTTACATTCAAATTATTTGCACATATGTTATGAACAAAAAGAAAAGCTGTTTCCAAGCTGCCGATTAAATCTACGTCCGGAAAAGAAACACTGCAGGATAATCCAAACATAACTTATTTTTTTGTTTTATTATATATAACTTTCATCACACAGACCAAAACAAAACATCACATTACAAATCATACAATACAGACCAAACATACAAAAGTATAAAAATAAAAAATGCCAGACTGGACCTAGATAACTACAATGTTACAGGCTACATCAGTCAATCATTCAGTGAAAATAAAGCATATGGTGAGGAATACAGTACACATAGAACATTCAGAGTCTTCCTCAATGACATGCAGCAGCCAGCCAGAGAAAAAAGTCAGGCGGGGGGGAGGTTCTGGACATTTTAACAACACTATCCCATATAGATCTATAGTGATCTTCTAATTGTTCACATGTAGTGAGTTATTGTATAGGACGATTAGGAATTTGAACACTTTTACTTCCTTATATACAAGTCAGGTGGAAATT